CCCCAGAGCCGGGGCTGGAAAAGCCCATCCCTGCCCAGGGACATGCACGGGGATGGCACAGCCAAGCAGCCGCCACGGGGCATGCAGCAAGGGATGCACCAAAGCATGCACTAAGTCCTCACTTTTTGGGCCAGGATACAGCTGAGGCTGAATGAGAGAAAACATCCTCATTACTGCCTTGGATCCTCAACATTTAATGTAGCTTCCCCGCTCCCGCAGGGCTCCTGCCTGGGTAAGATCACTCGTGTTTATTTTAATCAAACGCCAAATACAGTTTCTCTGCGCCCCGGACAGGAGACGTCTATGGGATCGTCGGCACCAGCGTGCTGCGCTAACTCCAGATGAATATTGACTTTTTAATGACAAGCGCTCTAGTACAAATACCAGCCGATGCGATGGGGCCCAGGCAGGCAGCTGAAGGGGGCCGGCATGCCTGTTAGCCAGCAAATGAATTATTTGATTCCCGTTCCCTGCAGCATGCTGTCTGTGAGGAAATTTTCATTCGGTCTCTCTAACTCAAGAACCAATTGTAAATGTCAGCGCTAAATGTTCAGATTTAAGTGTTAGGTTGTCTTGTTCGATTACGGCACTAAAAGGTCAGAGCCGACTAATGGGAAGTACAAGCGGTATCGGGAGGGAAACAGCGTTCTGCCATGGGTGAGCAAACACCTGGGGACAACCTAATCACTCTTCCCGCAGCATCTCTCTCTTCCCTCTCCAGGACCTTCACTCAGGGCTGTTTTCCAGGACTTGTGACCGGAAAAAGCCATTTCTGGGGAGAATTCCCGCTTGAGACATTGCTGCCGGGGATGCCGGCAGCACCGGGTTTCCTCGTGGAGGAAGCAGAGAGGTCACCTCGCCATGTCCTGGGCGGATTTGCTCCCAAAGGGCGAGGGGTGGCACGAGAGCCAGGCTGCTGCCAGCCCCACTGCCATCGCGCACTTCCCTCCATGCATGGCTCAGGCTGGTATCAAAGCATTTTGGGTGCCCATGTCTCTGCACCTCCATTTCCATCCCCACTTTTGCCAGCCTCTGGCAACCAGCACCCACGGAGCTCCACATAGAGAGCAAAACCAGGCTTTTTTTTTTATTTCCCTCCTCCTTTCCCTTTTGCCGTTCATTTTCCCCTTTAAAATCCCCTTTCCCTGGGGTCCTTCAGTCACGGTGGCCAAATAAAACTAAAGTTGCCTCCAAGTGACTCAGCTGAAGAAATCTGCTTTTTATCTGTGCCCATTACCGTCATTCCAGTTCTATAAGCCACGTTCATTATTTTAAAGCCGCTTTCAAAAAATATTAGTCCTTCTGCCATAAAAGTGCCTGAAAGACTAAGACCCCAAGGAGCTGTTATTCCTCCCCGGGGAACAGCGCAGTGTGGTCCCAAGCGGGAGCGCTTATCACTCGGTGCAGATGCCGTCCTGCACCGGGAACTGCCAGTCCTGAGACCATCCCCGGGCAGAGAAATTCAGTTCTGATTCTGGATATCCGAGTGCTTCTAGACATCAGTGAGAACTGGGAATTTTAGGAAAACTAGGAGCTTCAGAAAATATTTGCAATGGTTTTTCCACCAAGACTTTGGTGTCTCTGATGAGCGCCAGCCTTCATCCATCAGCATCAGCCTGGATAAAAAGCCCCCACTGTCCCCAGGGTGCTCACACCACCGCTCTGGGCACCTTCCTGGGAATCAAAGATGCCGCTGGACGTGGGGAGAGATCTCCAGCTGCCGTGGGCTCCTGTTGGGGAAGCAGTTTCTGTCCTCTGTTTCTGGGTGGTTTGTGTTACAAAGTCCCACATCACTCGGATAAATGAGAGGTGGTTGTCTTATTCCCAGGCCCTTTTGCAAGAGCATCACCGGGGAAAGGGTCCCGTTAAGCAGAGGATGCTGCCAGGAGGGTGAAGTGGCTGAGAAACCACCATAAAATACATGGCCAGGGGGGCGGGGGATTCCTACCCCATCACCAATATCAAATGCAAAGAAATGGAAGCAAAGGAACGTCCATCTCTGAACTGAGCTGTTGCTTTCACAGCCCAGGCGGGGAGCGGGACAGGCTGCCTGAGCTGCGCTGGTGAAGTCAAGGCCATTTGCAGTGTGTAAGATTAATAGGAAATCTGCTCTGGATGGGGAGCGATTCCCTCTCTTATTGGAATGAACCCCAAAGAGTAATGGCCGTGGGGCAGGAAGAGGAAGGTAAACTGCAGTAATAATGTGCTGCTTTGTGCAGACGTGCTTTTGATCATAGAAAAACACCCCATCTGTTTCTAAATTACTTGTTGTATTGATTTAACCGTTAGGAACATGGGGGATTTTTTTCTTTTTTCTTTTTTTTTTTTTTTTCCTTTTGCAAATCCATTCTGCAATGTCTCCTGGAAATCTGACAGTTATGTGCAATAAAAAGTAGGGGCTTGGTCATCATAAAAGATTCC